AGAGACAGAATGACGCGTTTGACGTCAGCATAAAGTTGTAGAGAGAGAGAATTATCAAATGGTTTCATCTAGTTTTATTATAAGTTATATTAATACTAATCGCTTGACCAGAATTAGTTGGACCAACTGCTGAGGGTGTTTGCTATATTAAAGAATTATAAAATTGAATTAATACAATGAAATTATTAAATAAAATATATAAATACATAAAACGTTTAATAATATTAATAAATATATCATTATTGTCATAGGTTATAAATTAATTAATGGTTAAATATGTCTCACCACGTTGTTATTGTGTGGGATTTGACGTTCACTTGAACTGGTATTTAAGTTAGCAGTGGAAACCTGGCTACTTTTTAATTTACACATAAACATCTCGTTGAAAAATGAGTTTTTATTAGCTTTAAGTGCATTCAATGTTATATTCAATTCCCTGTCATTTTCAGTAATGATTTGTCTGCCGACTGACCACTGGTTATAATCGTCGAGTACTCGACCACTGGTCGGCCGATGGGATACAACTGAATGAGACATTTGGCCAATGATTTCAAATAATTTGTTGAAATTATCTGAAAATATGGTTGAATTGTACTTTTCTATTGGATTTTCTCTAATAAAATATAGATAAAAATACATTACAAATAAAAATATTGATTATTTCTATTGACATACAAATTGAATAAATCAAACAAATGAAATGCAATCACTCCCAGGCTATAGATGTCAACCTTAATGCTATATCTGGACTGATATATTTCTGGTGCCATATATTGTGCAGAACCGACATTAGAGGTGTAGCTCATGGATGTCATTGTCATGTCGTGGAAAGTGGCGGAACCGAAATCACAAAGTTTTAGAAACCGATTATTATTACTATTTTGCGAAATCAATACATTTGACGGTTTGAGGTCCCGATGGATAACCGGTGGACACGAGTCGTGCAAATACTTCACACATTCTAACAGTTCTTTAAGTATTTCGCAAGAAATGAAATACTCGTAGACTTTCATCGGCTCTTCCGGTTGTCTTCCAAACACAATGTGCTTATTATCGATAATTGTCTGTAGATTTTGTGTATAAAAATCCATTTGAATGTACAGATAATTGTCTTCACGCCATGAGTTGCGGTAATTGACCACAAAATCTGAACGCAATTTAACTAAATTTTGCACTTCTTTTAGTATTTCTTGTCGTTTGTGTTCGTCATAAGTGTCTATAATTTGTTTAAATTTTAAGTAAACATAACATATGATTGTTTAAACATTTTTAACAATCTGAAATAATGCAGTTTGTAATTACCAAGGAACTTTACTATTTTCACCGCATATTCTTGGTCTTCAATTCTATGCCTCACGTGATATACCTCTCCGAATCCACCCCTTCCTATATGTGACAACTTTTGAAAATGATTGTCAAAAAAGTTTGATTTCTGGTCAGAAACTGTGTAAAAACATAATATAAATGTTATAATATAATTAAAACATATTGTTATCTATTACCTGTTGATGGTAAATATGCAGCCATTTTGCTAATTATTATCAGTTTTTGAATTTTAAATTAAGGTGTGGTGATAATTACCGACTTTATGAAACCTTTTAAAACTTAAATATAAAATATGAACATTATACATTTTCTTTCATATTATTTATTATAAAATATATTAACATTTTTTTATTAATTATACATTTAATTGTCTAAATAGAGCGCTCTTTCACTAAACTTATTAAAGAAGTATAAAAATAATTGAGTCGTTAATAACACTTGAATTTAATTCTTATGATATTTTTAATGGAGAAATATTTTATAAAACAATTAAATAATTGTGTCGTTAATAAGATTACATTTTGTGGTTAAGACTTGTAATAATCAGTTAAAGCAATGGTAACACAGATTTTACTGATAGTAAAATAATAATAACCATGACTGGGATAAATGAGAGAAAAAGTAATTTTACTATGTCATAGTTAATATACTTTAGGCCTCTAAGGCCTAAATATATCAGTCAAGATAATAACTATAGTTTTATTGTCTCATAAATTATTGACAATTGAAGCGAACACTCACTAAATGAGTGCTAAAACTCAATAATAAAGAGTAAATAGTTATAATATTAACATCTATATTGTATGGGTTTAGTATTTGAAATACAAGACATTTTGAAGCAAATCAAAGTAATGTGAAAACCATTAGAAACACAGATATTATTTTCAGACAAAGAATTTCATATAATATGTGACAATAATTTGGTTTTGTCATTGCATTGGAGAAAGATTCTATCAATAAGTTATTTAATATAACTAATGAATAAAAATAACTTTAAACCTATGAATTTTATCAAATTATTATTTGATTTTTTAAAAATATATTTCATTTTTTAATTTAATATTTTGTATTTAATAAATGATATACCATTAAAAATTTGAAACACACTTACATTGTACAACAATTTACTAAAATATTATAATTAATTATGAATTATTGAAGAAATCTTGAATTAAATTTTACATTACATTTAATAGCATGCTTTCAGACATATATTTTAACTAGATTTAAAATTTTTATGATTTAATGTAATTAAATTTATTATCCATAAGTTAATTGACAGCCATTTCAGTGTACTCTTCGGCGCCCATCAGTTCAATGATCTCTATTGACGGCAATTGTGATAAACATCTCAATACAAAGTCTGCTATTTTAATGTTTGAAATGTATATCAATTAAAGTTTTGGTAAATTTCTACGCATATTAGCTAACAATCGGCATAATTAGTGATAACATTAAATATAAGAAGAATCTAATGTAATATAAAGTACTTTACTTAAATAACATAAATATTTGGCTACAAACACAACCAGCATTATTATTTGTTATGATAGTGTGTCGTTGACTGATTGACCACATCATTCAAATGCAAGTTTTGATTATTAGATATATTAACACTAATCGCTTGACCAGAATATGTTGGGCCAACTGTTTCTCTAGGCGTCTGTTAAGTTATGGAATTATAAAATTGAATTAAAATATGGTAATCATTTAGGATATAGATTAATAAAGCATTTAATAATATATATGTATGTCATTATTTTAATATATAATAAATTAATAAGTTAAATGTTGCTTACCACGTTGTTATTGTGTGAGATCAGAGGTTCATTGTTACTTAAATTAGAAGTGGGAACCTGGGTAGTTTTGAATTTACTGATAAAAATGTTGTGGTCTTTAATCTCAACAGTTGAGGGCCTGTCGTCCGGATTGGGAGACAAAAGTTTGTTAAGAAGATCGCACTAAAAACAAACGTAAAACATAACTACTCGATACAACTCTATCGTAATAACGATGGGTTAACAAACCTCTGACGAGTGTTTGCCGATAAAATCTATGGGAAAAATTAATTTTCTGACATTTTCTAAGACTATTCTTCTTTCCATTTCAGTCTTGAAAGGAACTAAAAGCTCGAATAATATGATTCCCATCGAAAATATGTCCACTTTATTAGTGTACCGAAGGTATTGCATCTTTTGGCATAAGTTATCATAAATTTTTGAACGAAAATTTAAACATTAATTAAACCAATGAATACCTGTTCGGGACTCATATAGAGTTCAGTTCCGACGCGCTTTGTGTTAGTACTAGAAGACTGTGTTAGCGCTGAAGCGCCGGCAATGTGTGTCCCGTCGTCGACAGCCGTAGCCGTGACTGACCCGAAGTCACCGATTTTAATATTGCCTTCCATTGAAAAAAATATGTTTGACGGCTAGACATATAAATATCAACTTTTATTTTAACAATAATTACAACTTTGTTAAATAAAGTGCCTTACTTTGAGGTCGCGATGCATTCTACCGCTTAAGTGCACGTAATCGACAGCACTAACGATCTGTTTAAATATATCTAACGCTGTATTCGAGTCGCGATTAAATGGATTATTTCGGAGCCAATCCTTAAGCGTGTCTTTTCTGCATAATTGCAATTGAATGTAGAGATAACAGCGCGGAAGCACTGTGTTTACACTTAAAGGTCGGCTATTGCTTTGGGCACTCAGTTTGCTTTCGTCAAAAACATTGCTATTTGTAGACATTCCTAGACTTTCGTCGCTATTCCTATCGATTACATGAACAGAAGTAGCATTTTCATCAAAAGCTATGTATGAATCTTCACTGCTTTGAGTTTCTGTCATAATTTGTTTTGATTGATTGGATCCAAACCTCATTTCAGTACTCATGGCATTGCTTTGAGTCTCACTGAAAAGAGTGGACTCAATGTCTTGGGTGGGGAACAGCTGTTTGTCTCTGGTTTGCTGCCACCCGAGAGGCGGCACTTCTACCCAAGCGCTATAATACCTAACAATTCCCTTATGATCCAATTTAGAAAGCGCTGTCACTTCTCGCATCACTTTCTCCCTCCGCTTATTGCGGTCGGGAAAGGATATCCGTTTCACTGCGTATTTGTTTCCATCGACTTTATGCTTGGCTTCAAACACGAGTCCAAAGCCACCCCTTCCCAGCACTTGCATTGGTTCAAACTCAGACTCGAATTTAGAATTGTAGGCCTAATTAAATACAACATTATTGTGTTTATAAACATATCGTTGATATACATATCGTATCAACATTTATATACAGTAAAATATAGCTTACATATACATTGCATAGTTTATATAGTCAAATATCTGTACAATCATAAGAATGGTTCTTGAGATTTAGTTTATAACATAGATTAGTAGACAACATAAAGATAATTTTAACATTTTCTATGGTGGGTATTTGATAGAAAACATAAAATATTGTCAGCATAGATAGTTGACAGGATTGTTATTTGACTGTATTTTATAATGTGTAGTACGTGTTTCACACAAAAAAATAAATCAAAACTCAAAACTTGAATCCCTTTATATCTATAGTAGATAACAATGTTAGAGAGAGAGAGAGAGAGAAATGCAGAGACAAAGCCCTGGATTACGCACTGTTTTGCACTTCACGTACTTATAGTTCAAGTTCAATGCATTCTCCATTCAAACTGATAGACTGTATGTGAAAGAGGGGAAGACCTGTGGGGGAAGTCCGTGAATACGTAAAAAACAGAGAGGGAAGTAAGTCTATGGCAGACATCATTGGGAAAGCTTTTGATTTATATTATAGAATTATTTTTACTTAATTTTTCAAAATTAATTATGATTAATAAAATATATAATTTTTTTATATATATAATTATCTAAACTTCACTGAACTCGGCTTCTGGTACCTAATTTTCCCTCAAACGGAAATTAATTTTACAGTTCTATCGCAAGTAGAATTTCTAATAGACTAACATTAATTATAAAAATAATATTATATAATTATTATTAAAACAATTAAAATTATATTTACCGCCATAGTTCTTCTTTATAAATAAGTTTGTTATTAATTAACTAATTTAGTAACAATTATTTATACAGATTGGTTGATTTAATAACTAAAATTTATTATTAAATTTTATTTATATAAATAATAAAATGTATAATTCAATAGTGAAATATCTAACAATTCTTTTGTCTTAAATAACACGTAATCATTTGATTTGCCTCTAAATGTAGTTATCAGTAAAACTCATTGGAAACACAGATATGTAAAAAAATATTTCATAAAATACATGATATCCGATACAGGATAACAATTTGATTTTTTCTAAAAATTATTGCTTTTTTTAAACTAAGTTTAACATATAAAATAATGTTCTCAGACAATGTTACTGGTTATACACTATTAGAAACAATTAAATAAATAATAATTCTTGAATACAAACTTGTGTTTTACAACATGCAAAGATAATGTAAGATAATAATTATAGTTATAGTTTATGAATTATTATGTTGTAATAACTATTGGAACAAACAATACATTCTAAGGGAAGATTATTACATTTAAAATCATACAATTTTTAATGTGGTATATTTTTAGGACTTTTTGTTATAAAGTAACATATCGTACTTTATATTAGGTAACCAAATAATATAATGAATAGGTTAAATTTGCAATCGATTTAACATATAGTAAATATATAGATGCAAATAAGATCAAGTTTATGCCATAATAACCAGCATATTGTTTGATTCATAATTTTATTATATATTACTTTTTAATTAAAATATATTCGCACAGTAAAGACCGACAAAAGAGAAACGATTTGCTTGGTAAATTATATAAAAACTACAACTTATAGAGCATTAAAGATATATTCAATTTGTAGTTTAATTATTAAACATTTAACTGATATATAATTTGTTTGGTGAAAATGTGTCTCAAGATTAATTATCAGCTTCTGAAATGGATGGTATCATTTCCATCTTTCCAACACATTATGCTATAAGTAGTGTAGGATATAAAAGGGGTGACTAAACACCACGCCCACTTTATCAGAGGGCCCGCTGGAGGCCCGTCGGAGTACATGTTATGCAATACAAAAATACGCATAGAGTTATGCAATACAATGCGT